ACACACCCACACACACACACACACACACACACACACACACACACACACACACACACACACACACACACACACGTATATATATATACAGGAAATAGCACCACTGCACTGTGGCTGTCATTATCACTGACACATTTAACCATCAACTGCACTAGCATTCAGCTAACTCCTGGCATTTATTCCACAACAGTCCAGTGTAAGTGTGTCTTCACCCTTTAGCACTGCTGTCACGGCATCTTCCTGCTGCTGAGACCGAAACTGGTCGAATCCGAAGTGTTCCTTTAACGCCCGGTGAACGGCACTCATAACTACATCCACAATCCCAACATTCACTCAACATTCACTCAACTCCGCCGCGGCGCACGCAGATGATGTCATGTGACGCAAATATTCTGCGTCCTTTTCCATTTCTTTTTAACAATCTTAAAATGTAGTTTATATTCGCATTCATAAATGTTCATTCTCCCACCATAAACGATATCTCAAGGGGTTTAACAACACATTCCAATGGTGTTTCGAAACGCTTTCTGTATCTGAAAACAAAAACATCTTTGTTTAGGCGATTTAATGTTCGGATCAGTGTATTGTAGCCAAACTGGAGAAATGTTTCATTCATAAATTATGGTTTTGGAAGATACCCCTTTGCAATATTTAGAAACTAATTACAATTATTTTCAGAAGCCTGGGACAGAATAAAAGAAAAACACCAGTTGTTTGATTTAATTGTAAAATATAATTTGTCAGATGTAGCCTATGCCTTTCTTTCTTTCTTTCTTTCTTTTTTCTTTCTTTCTTTCTTTCTTTCTTTCTTTCTTTCTTTCAACACTTTATCATTACTTTAGTTGTAAACAGTTCAAAACTAAACAGCCTACTGCACACTGGATGGATATCTTTTCCTTCACTTTTATTTTTAAATTATTAACTTACACAAAATGTATAAATATATGAATCTATATATAAAATTATGAAGTTGTACGTGTGCAATTGTGGTGTAATGCATTTGTTAGAAAACACTCTCTGTCTGTATTGGAACTGTATTCCAGATGTTTTCACCCTCCTTTTCTTCTCTCCCTCTCTGCTCGCCCTCCCTGTACAGCGCACTGTTGTCTCTCTCTGAATCCCCCTCCTCCATCTGTTCTCTCTCTCTCTTGTATTATGTTTTAATATCTCTTACTCATATTCGAGGTACGCATGCGCACATGTATGCATAATATTTAGAAACTAATTACAACTATTTTCAGAAGCCTGGGACAGAATAAAAGAAAAACACCAGTTGTTTGATTTAATTGTAAAATATAATTTGTCAGATGTAGCCTATGCCTTTCTTTCTTTCTTTCAACACTTTATCATTACTTTAGTTGTAAACAGTTCAAAACTAAACAGCCTACTGCACACTGGATGGATATCTTTTCCTTCACTTTTATTTTTAAATTATTAACTTACACAAAATGTATAAATATATGAATCTATATATAAAATTATGAAGTTGTACGTGTGCAATTGTGGTGTAATGCATTTGTTAGAAAACACTCTCTGTCTGTATTGGAACTGTATTCCAGATGTTTTCACCCTCCTTTTCTTCTCTCCCTCTCTGCTCGCCCTCCCTGTACAGCGCACTGTGCTGTTGTTAATTACTGACAGCATTAAAAATTCAACTTTAAAATAAATGTAATTAAATGACCAAATTTGATACTATTATTGCACATTATTAATTTTGATTATTATAAATTCATCACTCTGAAAAAGTCACACTCATTTGCACTAGAATAAATTCATCTCACAATGCATGTAATTACATAATCTTTGCATAAAGCACACAAGCAACATTTGACAGGAAAAAAATCTGCATGGACACAGGATTGAACTTACTTTTATTTATTATTCACATAAAGTGCATTTCATGTCATGATTTGAGTTTGTCAAATGAATATGAAAGTGCAGACAGAGCAAGCGAACACTGTATTATATTAAGGTGCAGACAGCAGCAGGTTCAGAAGTACCACAGAAGCAGTAGCTGAAAGAGATCCTATACACTACCTTGATGGAAATACTGGTTGTGAATGCTATGGATCACTGTCAATCACTACGAACTGACCAACTAATATGGCCCAATGGTTTATCTAATACTAATGAGGTCTAGAACACTGGTTCTCAACTGGTTTTGCTTCAGGACTCACATTTTACATCAAGTGCCCCAACACATTTCTTTATTGCCAAAAAATAGTCCTTAGCATCAAATACGCAAACATCTTAATCTTACTATAAACTGCTTAGGCTCAAAATTTCGCTAAAGTATAAGCATACCAGCTAACAGGAAATGTTCTTAGAACTTTGAAGAAGGTTATGGAAGCGTTTTCTCGAAAGTTATGAACAAATGTTCTTCCAGTAACATTAATAGAATGTTCGTTTAAAGTCATCCGGACTTTAATAATGTTCTCAAAACATTAGCATGCAACGCATTATGTATATATTATGTTTTTCTGAAACACTGGATGTTCACCTAATTGTTGCTACTTATAGTTTCAGATGGTTTCGAGAACATTTAAAAGTGGCATTCTCATAATGTTTGCAAAATTATAAAATTGGAATGTTCCCTTAATGTTTTCTCTAACCGTCACATAACCGTATGTTCCGGAGAACCTTTGCATAGCTTAATGAGAAGTTAGCAAAATGTTCTCAGAATATAGTTTTGTTAGCTTGAATGGTATTGGCTGAAGAAGAAAATTGTCTTCAAAGCTTGAGCGCTTTCTAATTGTCATTTGAATTTTGATTGTTTCTCACCCAGTGAAAAACAACATTACCCATGATTCTACAGAGAAATCTCCACAAAGCAAATCGTGCCGAAATAATTCTTTAGCACCCACCCACTACCATGAAGCACTGCGAATGACATAATAGCTCACAAATGCTCTCAAACTACTAAAATATTTTTCTCCACTGTTATTAATTTGACTATGTCATTCACAATGCTTCATGGGATTGTAGTCCTTTCTAAGCAGAGTTTGTAATGTTGTGATTCACCTCATAGCAGGTTGGTTTGGTTCATGACTTAAAGGGTTAGTTCATCCAAAAATGATATTTAGCCCATAAATGACTCACCCTCAAGTCATCCTAGGTGTATATGACTTTCTTCTTTCAGACGAATCCAGTCGGAGTTATATAAAAAATTGTCTTTGATCTTTCAAGCTATATCATTGCACTCAGCAGGTGTTGCATTGCTTCAGTCCAAAAGCACTTAATTAAAAAGCGCCCATCCATAAAAAAAAGTGTCTCACATGACTCCAGGGGGTGAACAAAGGCCTTCTGTAGCGAATCGATGCATTTTTGTAAGAAAAATATCCATATTCAAAACGTAATAATCACTTTAATCTAGCTTGCGCTCACTGTTGTACAAATCCTCGTTCTGTACTTCTAATTCTTGACCGTTGTTTTGTTTTGATCTCTCCGCTGCGTTTCCGCGTTCGTCACTTCTGACCAGCGCATGCGCAATGCCAACCTCATACGTCATGCCCCCGGAACTGCTTCATTTACAACAGCGAGCGCAAGCTAGATTAAAGTGATTATTACGTATTGAATATGGATATTTTTCAAACAAAAACACATCGATTCGCTACAGAAGGCCTTTGTTCACCCCCCGGAGCCGTGTGAGACAATTTTTTTATGGATGGGCGCATTTTAATTAAGTGCTTTTGGACTGATACATGCAACACCCGCTGAGTGGCATTAAACAGCTTGAAAGATCAACGACAATTTTTAATATAACTCCGACTGGATTCGTCTGAAAGAAGAAAGTCATATACACCTAGGATGACTTGAGGGTGAGTAATTTATGGGCTAATTTTCATTTTTGGGTGAACTAACCCTTTAAAGCACTTCACAAAATCCCTATGGGTACAAATACTTAGCAAAATACTTGCATTTGCGACCCTGTGACCCTATCTGTACAAATGGTAACATATTAAGGTCCAGTTGAGAACCACTGGTCTAGAGATTAAGCACTGGGCTCCGGTTGAATTCGGTTGGGTCTCAACCCCACAGGCAAATGCCGGGACACAGGCAGTGGCTCCTGTTCCTGGGGGATCTGATCACCAGGTCTTTCACGATCTCCACCGTTCCGAAGAGCGGGAAGAGCTTTTCGTCAAATGTCTCGTTGTAGGTGTAGATGTGGGAGTGGTTCTCCACGTCGTAGAAGGACAGCTGGCCCTGGTCGTAGTCTAGGTAGACGCCGACCTTTTGAGGAATCAAGGCGGCTGGCAGGGCGGTGAACGGCACGGTGAGGGCCTTTAGCTCCGTGCCACGCTCCAGCCGCAGGGTCAGGTAGCCAGTGTTGGAGTTCAGGGACTTGAAGCCTTTACGCAAGGCGGACTCTTTGGCCACACCGATGCGCCAGTCCATTTCTCCCACATCCACCTCCCAATACTGGCGGCCAGAGGCGAAGCCTTCGGTTCCCACCGCACACCACCAACCGTCGAAGCGCTGGTGATAGTTAGGCACGTCTTTGCGCTCGAAACCACAGCGCATGCGCTTCTCGTCCTCGGAGACCAGCAGGTCAGGGTTGGCCGTGTCCAGGTCAAGGGTCACCTCCACTATGATGGAATGAATGGAGGGTTGTGACTAATGTGTAATCAGTTTTACGAACTATGAATCAATAGCTATGTTTCCATCCAAAGATGCGAATTTAACTTATGCGCAAAACAGAGAACAAAATCACTTCCTGGTAAACTGTGGCCCTGAATATCACTAAGAAAACAAGGAGAAGCCACTAAATGTAATCATTTTCATATATGATATAAATTATTTGCACCTCAGAGCAAGCAGCCGAAACACAATAAATGCGGTCAATGCTTTCGGAGGTGGATGCTGCTGTTTGGGAACGCAGTCGTGTAAGACAATTATACAGAAATACTTTGACGACAGACTTCGCTCAGGCATTTCAGAATGACCAGAACAACATATAGATGCTGTGAACCAGATCGGTCCGCTGCTAGTCAAGTTATCCCGTCTCATAGCGCAAAGTCACAAGACTTTTTCGATGCGCATGCAGGAATTTATTTGGTAAATGTATTTCCATCGTAGTTTATGCGCATTTTTTCTTATCGGATAAAAAGTTTATCCTACTCAAATGTGCGAATACTGTACGTTTTTAGAATTTATGCGCATCTTGGCGTTTCCGTTTTTATGCGATATTCCAAAATGCGCATAAAAATAGGTGGATGGAATAGAAACATAGCTAATGAAAATGGCTCTGTTTCAAAACCTAGAGAGCGGCCTATGTAGGCAGCATTTTGCAGCATTCAAGTCAAAAAGATGGTAAGATACATCTTTAAACAAAATTCTAAATTCTAAACTAAACAAAAAACAAATTCTATGTATATTATATTTAGAATTTAGACTAAATTATATCCGCTTCACAGATACTATGTAGATTTGTATGTGATGCTATACTAGTAATCTCACAATGCATTACGACAAGATGGTGGATTACTTGTTGGTATTAAATAGTATTTTGGTAGCTTTCAGTTAAATTAAAAGTAAATATTTCTACAATTCTAAACCCTCAGTTTTACTCAGTATTTTTCAGTGACGTAGAATTAGTAGAATATCACAGTGTCAGCAACTTTATTTACACTACCATTCAAAACTTTTGGGTTGGTAATATTTTATTATATTTATTTATTTTTTAAATTAACGCTTTTATTTAACAAGGATGCATTAAATTGATCACAAGTGTAAAGACATTTAAAATATATATATATATTTATATTTCAATTCATAAAAAAATCTGAAAAAATGTATGTTTTCCAAAAACATATTTTCAACACTGATAATAATAATACATTTCTTGAGCAACAAATCAGCATATTATTATGATTTCTGGAGGATCGTGTTGCACTGAAGACTGAAAATTCAGCTTTGCATCACAGGAATAAATTACATTTTAAAATGTATTCTCATAGGAAACACTCATTTTAAATTGTCATAATATTTCACAATATTACTGTTTTTTACAGCATTAAATAAACATCTTACCTCCTGCATCACTGATCCAGTCCCACACTAAATAATGAAAAGCAATAATTAGCTCAAGTTCATAGCGAGTCTAAATATTCAATCCACCCTATAATTGCAAAACTGTCCAGAATATCCATTCAGATTTTCAAAAGAGGACACAGGACTCACCTACATGAGGAATATATGGGGTGGCACCTAAGTCAAGCACAAAAAATAGAAAAATGAAGGTGCTGTCAGCAAGATGTTTTAATACCAGGCATTATATTTCGCTACTACCTGGCAGATACGTGAACAAGGTTAGCCACAGCTGAAGTCGTTTACAGCACATCTGAAATCATTTTTCTTATATTCACGATATTCAAGAAACAGACGTGATGTTCAAACCTATTTTTTGGCTCCTCTGTTTCCACATAAGCCACTTTTGCGGAATGTTCTCCTAAACGCACAAATAAATCAGTTTTATGTGACAATAAATGAATTTGCCCACTGAATTAAACTATGCAATGTTGTTTTCTTCACACCTTGTCTAGTTCTTTGCTGATTAGCGTCCAGAACACCAGCTCCATGGCCGACTGCAGGGTGGCCATCCGACCTTTTTTCCAGTGATTCTCAAGGTCATCCAAAGCCGCCACCACCTGCTCTCCAGGCCACACACTTTGCTACACAGGAAAGTGGGAATAAATGATGCAAATGTTGCCACTCAATATAACTGACATGCAACTATTAAAGGAAAAGTTCACGCAAAAAATGAATATTCCAAAAATAATAGCATTTAGAATGTCCCAATTAAAAACATGGAAACCCAGCGAGTGTGTGTGTACCTCAGGTTGGGCCCTCAGGTCTTTGGTCCAGGTGAGAATGACTCTCGTGGCGCTCTCTATATCCTGCTCACTGCTCAGAGTCAGATCCTTCCAGTCACTTCTCTCTGGCCATCCATCAGTCAGCATTGGTCTTTTCTGTTAGAACAATATTTGGTGACACTCTAGTTCTGGTAAGCTAGTGAGATGCCTACATAAGCAGCCTTTTAAGGAGTCAAAAAAGTACGTCAATTTGCAGCAATTTGGTTTCAGCGGGTGCATAAAAATAGAGTAAAGGTATAAATGAGCATCTTGCCTTGCTCTCGAGCAGCGATGCCCACTCCAGAATGAAGGCCCTGCAGGTGAGAGTGGGCCACACATCCTCACTCTTTGAGATGTTCTCCAACACCTCTGACCTCTACGGCCACCAGGAGAGAAGAAAACACACACGTACCATCAGAACCCAATAATTCAGTTCAGTTACTGAATTTGAATTTAGGTAGGTTCGCTGGAGTCCCAACGCCTTAGAAATAGCTTCATAACCCTTTCCAGACTGATACATGTCAACTGTTTTGATTCTCATCTGTTCTTAAATTTATTTAGATCACGGCATGATGTGTTGCTCTTTAAGCATGCTTCACTTTGTCAGACAGGTTCTATTTAAGTGATTTCTTGATTCAACAGGTCTGGCAGTAATCAGGTCTGGGTGTGGCTAGTAAAATTTAACTCAGCTTTCTAAAATAATGTGGTTAATCACAGTTCTTTCATTATTTAAGAGGAGGGGCAAATAATTTTTCACGTAGGGCCAGGTAGGTTTGGACAGCTTTTTTCCCTTAATAAATGAAATTATCATTTAAAA